AAATTAAATCGCTTTTACCGGAAGTACCTGCGATGATAACGCGCGTTTGAGAAATGCATGAAATGCGCGTATGGTAAATGCGTCGCGTATTATCGGCCAACTGGCTAACAAATCGAACTTTTCGAGCGATAACAAAAATGTTACGATGGCGAGATATTAAGCAACGATAAATAGTCCGACGATAATTAAGCATTTGCCGATAAATTAAAATTTGAACAATATAGAATTGCACGCTCAATCAATGGTTCATTATTTTATATATGTATTACACAGAAAAATAATGTGATATTAATATTATTATAGTTTTTTATCTAATGTTTATTTTATTGTCATATTATTTCATTATTATCACCGTATTTTTATTCCACCGTATTTTTTTTTATCCCACAAATTATCTTGGAATAGTCACTTTGACAAGAGAAACATTATATTACGCAGAAAAATAATGTGATAGTTATATCAATGTGATTTTAATATTATATTTCTTTCATCTAATGTTTATTTTATTGTTACATATTATTTAATTATTACCGCAATATTTTTATTAAAAAATCACCATATTTTATTCCACAAATTATCTTGGAATAGTTACTTTGGCAAGAGAAACACGTAGAAATCGCGTATACGGTAGGTAGATGTCATTACTTAGATTCGATAGCCATTTATTGTGGGCACGCTTATAAATCTCGCGCACGCTCGTTACCTCACTCGGCCGCGATGCGATTTTATTCGAGAAACTGGATTAAACGGAGCGAGAAAGTTCCGTTGTCGTCGTCGTCGCCGTCATCGTTGTCGTCGTCGAAAGCGTCCCTGCATTAACATGCATGTCTGCCTTGGATCGAAATCGTCCTTGGTCGTCAGCAAGAAACACGCGGATCGATTCACGTTCTAAAGGAATCTCGAAAGAGTACTTCCATTGACCGTCAATTTAGAATTACATAATGTTTGATAAACAGCATAAAGAGCGGATTTAAATGTCCGTGCTGATTTAAATGCGCGTATATGCATGTGTGCGTGGGTGTTTTTGTATCTGTATGTACGTCGATTTATTGCTTCTTGCTTTTCTTACATCTTATTTTGTATGAACTGATGGGATCAACATTGATAATGCCTTTTGTTTAGTGCTACTCTGTCTCTTGCATTTATTTTGTTTTCAGCCTTTTTTATTTTTTTGTTCTTTCAGCAATGTTGTACAACAGCATTATAAATTATTATATTATTATCATTACTTCTCAGATTCCAATTTTTTCTAATTCCTTCCTTCCGATCTTAAGACTTTCCTATATATGACGAAATAACTCGTCCACTGTCGCGAGAAATGGCGAAATGCGTTGCAAAACCCGTGCAACTTTCTTACGTGACGAATCGTAACAGTCCGTTGGAAATGTAAACGGATGGTATGAGCGAGTCGGTACGGCGTGATCCGATTGATCGATATGCGACCTTTCGCAATATTGCAAAAACTAGTTCTCATAGTAACTGAGCTGAAAAAAAAAACTGGCCGCGAGAAAAAGCGATTTTTATATTATAAACCTCCCCCCTCCGGGAACGTGAATCTTAGAAAATACATCATTCATAGAAATAATGAATGTATTGTATCATCTTGAAACTTTCGTTATCATATCTTCAATCACGAAATCTTAATTATATGAATTATTCGTGCCTATCGCTACACCGAGGAGATCGTAATCAGTAAACATAACCCGTTAGTTTCTAAATGACGTAAGTACATTTTTACGCCTTGCAGGAAATGAAAATTCTGAATGAGAGCTTGAAACTGAAAATTTCTAGTTTCAAAGTAATAGTGTAATGTCTAGAAGACTCTAAAAGTAGATACATGAAAATATAAAATCTATAAAAATATTAACAATCGTAAGATTTTACAATACAAATAATAAACAATTAATATTGTGAATAAATTAAAAAATGCTTGTGTAAAAAACGTGCTGCACCATTGAAGAATATAGGAATTATTTCAGGAATGAAAAAAGACAGCTAGTAGGACTTGGGTTCTCAATTTCATTTTCTCTTGGATCTCAATTGATCATTTCATTGCGATCGTATCAAGCTATCGTTAAAACGATTTCTATATCTCCGCACGAAGAACATAAATCAATCTCACCAACAGGGAAACAACGTCGAAGAAAAACAAGTCGAATTCTGTATTAACTGCGCATCATTTTCGCGCGACTTTTTTGCGTTCTTTCGCATTGTCGTGTCACTTAATTTTTTTATTTTACGAAAACTATATTTGTGAATTAAATTTACATAAAAGGATCGTGAATTAAATTTGCAGTACTTTTTTTATACGAAATACATATACAGACAATTTTTGCTCACGCATAATTCATTTTTTGCAGCTATAATCGGCTTTCGAAATTAACATTCAATATTTTTTACTTTTCTGAAAGGATAGTCCTACGTTCGTAATGGCCAAAAATGGAACACATGATATTTTGTCAATTTTCAAAGAAAAGACATTGTATCGATATGTTATAAGATAGGTGCACAAGAATTGAATTTGAATTTGAATTTTAAGAGAATGAGAATTAAGATTTATAATGAGAAGTAAGACAGATAAAAAGAGAAGAATAATATTTAGGGAAAAGAAAACTAGATTTAACCAAGAAGGTGGAATCAAGCAAAAAGGAGAGTTGAATGTAGGTAAATTTCTACTTTCGTGCACGCGATGTTAATGTAAATTCCAAACTTTTACTCCTGTCTTGGCGAGAATGATTATATACCAATTGTGACGAAAACATCTAAACATGCACTCCTTACTTTCGATCACAAAGATATTTATGTGTACATTTTCACGTGCATTCATTGTTTAGTCACTAATATTTATATTAAAATGTAATAAAACTAATAAAATTGCGATTGATGTAAATACTTTGTAATTGATGTATATTCATCGATCTATATTAACATTATATTTGATAATTAATTATAATCAAATCATAAGTAACAAAATTATCCAAGTACTGAGGAAAAAATTTCAATAAAATGACACAGAGGATTCTCGAATTTAAATTGCACAAATGAAAATAAGGCTAATGAGAATCAGAGCGGTTATTAGTGCCCAAAAAATAATGTATATTGATCATTAAAAATATTTTAATTAAATATCTCTTCTCTTAAATCTTAAATTTGCTCAAGGTATCTCATAAACAAAGTATCAAAAGAAAGGCTAGTGAGCCTTGCACGGAGTTAGTGTATCTCATAACTCGTAAAAACGTTAGCTTTCATCAAGAACTCTTATCGCTTTCAGAGAGATGCCTCGCCTATAGTACGTAAATTGTATATCAATGCGGTGGCGTCTGGAACGCATTAAGAGAGCATAATCGGACGACTGCCTGTATATACCTACCTTCTTATAACGGATTTATACGCCGCGCGCCGCGCCGCGTCGCGCTACGCCGCCTCGGACGGGGATCCCGAAGAGGGTGGTGTCTCGGCGCGGGTGATGACTCACGCGACTGGGCGCACGACGCACGACCTTCGTCCCTACCCCGTTATTTTGTATCGCGCCGCAGACCACCGCCGTGACCTTACGATTTATCATTGTGGCCACGTATATCACGTTAGCCGCGTATGTATGCATAATTATTATTATAGCCACGGGGGAGCCGACCGGTATTCTGCAAATCGCGCGGCCATGGCCGGCCGGCACACGCCGACTGCGTACGAAAGCAGTTCGACGAATTATCGATATATGCAAACGCATCTCCCCCTGCTGTCTTCACACGTTCAGGTAATTAACGCACATATATATTGTGTATTCTTAGTTTCTAGAAATTCTAGAAATAAAAAAAAAATCTTTAAATAAAATCCTTCGCTGTTATCGATTCCTGCGAATGTTTGTCACATAAATTTGGCGCGTCGAAAAAATTCTCCGAACATTCTCTGGAGTGTTAATATAAATATGCGGAGATTAATATCTCGAGATAAATCCCAGTTTTTCTCTCAAGAAATAAAGATTCGGGCTAAGGCGATATTTTATGGCCGCGGAACAAATAAACATTTTTCGGCTTCACCTTCCTTTCGTTCAAAGAACGACCGTGGTACGCGAGATCTCTTTTTCTCGCTTTCGTCGCGGAATTTCGCGATTCTCCGGAGGAACAAAGCATCTTGAAGATCGCGAAACATTATTCCTCGGCATGTTCGATGCGAAAACCGTCTGGCTCCAAAACTGGTCACGCGGCTGAGCAGATAACGCGGATACGAAAAAGAAAATAAATGCGCCTGTAGACATTTAAGAACTGAAAGTTATTTCAGCGATTTGAGGATTCGCCGGCGAAAGGACGGAGAAGATGTCGTGAAACTTCGAACGACATTTCCAGGAGAAGCGAAAGGAGAATTTATTTCAGTAACAGAGATATTACAGCTATAGGGCATAAAATGAAAGAAATTGTGAATCGGGATTCTCTGAAACTTTACTTTAAAATTTAAGATAAAATAAAAATGAAGAGCCTTTACTCAATTTTAAATTATAAAATGTTATAAAATGTGTTTGTGTGTGTTTTATATTCCTTTATAATTATCTCGAACTTAAAAAAATCTGTTCTCCTGACCCTAGCGATACCGTTATCACACATTATTACTCTCTTTTCGTGCGGTGATTTCCTTCATTCAGGAATTTGAACAAGATAGTAGACAAGGATGGAAATACATTGAATACTCAATGTGGTATTTCGTTTCATAAATCTGCCTCATGATATAGAGAAAGAGGAACAGAGTAAGAAATAGGGAGATGAAAAAAGAGGGATATCCATTATAGACGCAAGGAAGACAGAAAGTTTCAAAGTGAGAGACGGGGGAGGGAGGAAGAGAGAGACAGAGAGAGAGAGAAGACAGAGAAATACGAGAAAAGTAGAGAGGTGCACCTCTTCTCGAGGTGTCCGAAGGAGGAGGTGGCAGCCGTAAAAAGAGGGGGGAGGGGACCTACGACACGTGACCAATGACTTATATAAAGGTGGTGAACGACTGGGCCCAAACACAGAGTTCTATCTCTCGACGCAACGGAGGCGGTGTCCTTAAAAGTGCCTGTAGAATTTTTTTCCGTTAACTTTTTCTTCGTTTTTTGCCCCCGCGTCAACACTTTTTCGTTGAACCATGAGGACGTACTACGTAATAGCCGCCATACTGATCGCCGGTACGTAAATACACAGACCAACCACCATCGAGGGGTATCAGGGCGGTGAAGTCCAAAATGGGCCAATTAATTGCGGAAGGATCGCGAGTGAGATGCGATACTCTCGTCGAACAGTAAGAAAGTGAAGATTGCATCGTTTAGTGTGTGAAACATGCGCGTGTGGTAGAGTAAAGCAGTGCGCCCTACGTGCGTTGTAATCGGTACCTGCTCCGGAAATCTCGCCGCATCGAAGGACCCGCGGAGATAGTTCTTGGAAACTCTCCCGAAAGCGCGCGCGATCGCGATTGTTTGATTTATCTTCGCGCGGTCTCATGTGCAAGTTTTCGATTTATGATTGATTTTCTCTTTCTCCTTTCGTTCTTGTCCCTTCCTTTCTCCCTCTTTTTTGAGTATCTTTATTGTAAAAATAATTATTCGTTAATTATTAATTTATTAATTATTTTATTGTTCTACAGTCAAATTTAACATTATTTAAATTAACGATACTACCAATCTAATATCAAAGCGTTTAAAAAGACAGAAAGATTTATATACTTAAAAGATTAAAAGATATAAAAGTTATGTATAAATGTAACCTTTCTCTAATATAATATTTTTTTATTGTGTCAAAGTTATAAATTTTTTTCTAGCCATAAAAATGTTTTTTACATATAATTATAATATTAAACAGTTTTGTTTACAAAAAATGCAATTATATATATGCAGACACTTAATAATAAAATAATTAAATTAAATCGCAATTATGATTGTGTCCAATTTGTGATTATAATTGTATTATTCTATTCTTCGCAAAACAGAATAAAGAAATATTTTTCAAGACAATTGTTACTCTCTCAAAATATTTTAAAGAAACTACTAAATTTAGAGAGAGATTTCTCTTGGTTTATATTAATTAAATAATAGTATAATTATTTTGAAAAAATTAATTTATTTTATCCTAAAATCGTGAATATGTTTGAATTGCTTCTAAAAATGCTAAATTCCTTGGCATTGACCTCCTTGCAACCTCCATGTCAATTAAGTGCAATTAATTAACAATTAAAAATCAGCTGGTCTAAAAAAATTTCTACGCTTTCTTGCCATCGCGGCATAACCTTGGCCTAGATCTTGACCCTGCTTTTTGTTCCTTTCTTGCCAAAAGAAAATTCAAGGAAGCGATTAATCACAATGAAAATAATTTCTAAGACTTCTCCTATAATATAAAATTTTCTATATCAATTTCCCATAAGAGAGAGAAAATATAATAGTGTAGCACAAACTTTAATGTAGAAAAAATGCTTTTAAATACGAAAATTTTATATATATAATCAAGAAAATTATTAAAAGATAATCAAAGAAGTATTTATAGTTTTAATATTTAATTTTATTAGAAAAGTATTGTAAATATAAATTCCACAGATTTATAGTGGCTATTTATAGTGGTATCATATAACATAAGAATGAAAATTTCTGTATGCAAAGATTAATTAAATCGGACAATTATTAAGAGGAAAATTGTACGTAATTCTTCAGTGAAAACGTGATATTATAAAGAAACTTGTACTAGAATCTTGTATGTTAGGAATTTTCTTTCATAAAACGGAAATTTTCTCTCATTACATTTCATGTAAATGTATGTGATGAAATATTTAATAACTGAAGTATATATAATCGATTATTACGTATCGTGTATTAGACTCCCATGTTAGATACATTTATAATGAAACTTTCTTAGATAATGTCACAGGAAGAGAAAAAGAGAAAAGGGAGAAAGAGAAAAAGAGAAAAAGAAAAAGAACATATGGTAGGCACGGAAAGTTAATAAGAAATTAAAAAATCACTAAAATAATTTTTTAATATCTTTTCAAGACAGTTCATTTCTTTGTACACACATTTTGAACAATTTTAAATTTACATTGCGTTTCTCGATTTATTCAATATCTTTTAACTCGATTGTCTGCCTCTTGCTCAATGTTATTGAACATGATATCAATTTTCAGTCGAATTGTAGAATTCCGATTTTTAACATGCAACATTATTTTAATATTTAAATCGACGTTTTATATAACCATTGCATACTTTAAACAAGTAATTATATAACGACCTAATGCCGCATATTTTACAAAACGAGTCGAACGACGAAACTGGGACGGGGCGAGGAGGGGCCCCTGTCTGCGGTCCCTGGTCGACGAATATTTTCGAAGTCGCTTTCGGTGGCGCGGGACCGGTCCCGTGGAAAACGAAAGTGAATACAACTTGACGCATGGACGTGTACACTCGTGTACAAAGACTCGCCACACTCTGGGGCTCCGCGCGCGACGCGAACCGGGTGAACGGGATGCTGGGAGGGCCCAGTCACGAGCGGCTGCGGCCGCGGTCTGGCCGCGGGCCCAAAGTGAAAGCGCCCGGCGAAAGTTTACCGTCCCGCGCACACAGTTCCCTTACATAAGATATTTTAACTTATTCAGGCGTCATGTGCCGCGTGTGCGCGCACGCGCGCGCGCGCGCGCGCGCGCGCGAAAGAAAGAAAGAGGCGTAATTAGGCGTAATTAACATAGACCGGTATGCGCGGTATTTCTCGAAGGGGGAGAGGGGAGACCTCTTATCTATATCCACCCCTCCGGTTTCGTTCTCCCGTAACGATCGTCGATACGTTTCCTGCTGCACCCGCACGCATTCTCTTTTTTTTTTTTTTCACGAACGTCGCTCTGTTAAAAGGGGGAATGGAAAGAGGAAACCGGAATGGAGGCTCTCTCGTGGCCGGCAGTTAATTTTAGCCCGCGATTTCCTACGGAGAACGGTGCTATCGAGCTAAAAGGCGGGGTCGCCTTTTAACCGCGCGATCCGAGAAACTCGACGTGGCAACCCGCGGAGTACGAAAGTAGAAGTAGTATTTTTTTTCTGATTTCCTGGATGGGAATACAGGAAAACGTAGTGGCCTTTCACGTAATACTTTGCCGTATCCTCGAATTTGAAGAAAACTATATGCCACGCATTTTTTCGGCTCATTTCCTTTTGTGCAACCGAAATCATAAGCACCATGCTTCACGAGAGAATTACTATTGTCTCTCGTGGGACTTTGTGAAAAGTACGATTAATATATACAAACTACGATTTGTTCTTATTATTGATTAATCAAAATTTAATATATTAGATAAAGAATCTCGAGGAAATCTATCGAGCCCCGACATGCAACCCTTTGCCTCGATTTCAGGGACGCACGGTCAGGAATCCTTCAAATGTCCGGACGACTTCGGGTTCTATCCTCATCACATATCGTGCGACAAGTACTGGAAATGCGACAACAACGTGGCGGAGCTGAAGACGTGCGGCAACGGTCTGGCGTTCGACTCCAGCGACAGCAAGTTCCTCACCGAGAACTGCGATTATCTGCACAACGTGGACTGCGGCGAGCGCACGCAACTCGAGCCGCCGATCAGCACGCCGCACTGCGTTCGCCTCTACGGCATCTTCCCCGACGAGAAGAAGTGCGACGTCTTCTGGAACTGTTGGAACGGCGAGTCATCCCGTTACCAGTGCAGCCCCGGACTGGCCTACGACCGTGAGGCCAGGGTGTGCATGTGGGCTGATCAGGTGCCCGAGTGCAGAAACGAAGGTATCGATCTCGCCGAATCGCAAGTCTGTCTTATGATGCGAATTGCGCGATCGGACCGTCCGATCGATTTCTTAACATCCCAAGATATAAGGATAGTTCAGATGAAGAAGAATTCTAATAATATTCCCAAATAGAACAACAGGTTATGATAGCAGGTCAACATGATCTTAAAATGAATCGTGACTGATCGAATTGCAACTTTTAATAATCATTTTGGAGTCGATTTGATGCTATTTTTATGTGATGATGACTTTTTGTTTTACTTGGGTTCCGCATGATTAAGCAAATTTTCAAATTATCCAAATTATCTTATTCTTTCATCAGGCAGTAGCTATCCAGAATTCTCTCCAAGAGTCTCACAGTCCATATAAAGTCTCCTTTATTACGGAATCCTTATTAATTTGTTACAATTGCTCCTTTTAATATAATCGATACTTTTACACTAGTATTGATGTCAAATCGAATAATGTAACGTAGACTTATACATGGATTTCTGATCTAGTCATGCAGGAACTCGTCACGGGCGATTTGACGCGGATAATAGGACAGGCATAAAACGTGCAGTCAATCTCGCCTCTCTACTCCACGAGACATAAAACTGTCACAAATATCCTTCTACTCCCTTTCTACTCGCCTCGTTAACTTTGCGATTTTTCACCCAGCTACTCTAACTTTCTTACTTATAAGAATAAAATAATTTTATAAATAATTTTATTTTTTTTTTCTCTTATGCTACATACAGTATGTATATGTTTATTACGAGACAACTCTTTTCAATTGAACTATTATATTAAAAATCTTAAACATATCTTCAAACTTCATCTCTCATATTCTCATGTATATTCTCGTACGCCTCTTTCGTTCGCCGAGGTCGATCAATTCCGGCGAACGAAAAAGACATATGAGAATATATATATAAGAAAACAGAGTCGAACCTCGATAACTCGAACCTCTGTAACTCGAAAACTACTCGAATTTTTTCCTTTAAAAGCCATTATAATCTGAAAATTATGAATTCTCGTACAAAGCTTCCGTAAATCGAATTTTCATGTTGATTCTCTTTTACTCAAATCTTTCGAAATCTTTATAACTCGAAGATTTTTATAGCTCTTCTTGAGATTCAAGTAATCGAGGTTCGACTGTATAAGGAGATGAAGTGATATGTTTGAGATTTTTAATATAACAGCCATTCATTTATATACAATTAATATACAAATGTTCAATAATGTACAGTCATATCGCAATTACGAAAAAATACGAAACCTTTCCGCGTCTCTTTCTCTGCTCATATTACATGTCTATTTATTGCATTTGCAGAGGTCGCCGGAGGTTTCACGTGTCCGGCTGCGGGAGAAGTGAGCGGCGCATCCGGCAGCTTCAGCAGACACGCCCATCCGGAGGATTGCAGAAAGTACTACATATGCCTTGAGGGCATCGCCAGGGAGTACGGCTGCCCGATCGGCACCGTCTTCAAGATCGGCGACGCCGACGGCAGCGGCGCCTGCGAAGACCCCGAGGACGTTCCCGGATGGTGAGCATCTCTATATAATCTGTACACGATCTTCGTCTCGGAGTTGCCATAATCGCCACTTGTGTGGGAATGAATAAACTGCGAGATTACAGAACGACCAAGGAGTTTCGAAAGAATAGAGAAAGCGAGGGGAGTGTGCAAACATAATAAATTTTTAGGATATAAACGAGAATGGAAGATAGAATTTTAGATGAATGTTATAATGACATAATGCTTAATCCATTCGAACGATCTTTCTCTTTCTGTAAATTGTTCAATTCATTCCCCTACACAAGCATAGCCGATTTTCGAAAGCCGGCTGTCACATGGCATCATTTTGAACATTTCAATTCAAATCTAAGACCACGTAGTCAAATGCGACATAAATGAATAATCGACATCGACCGGAATTCTTTACTTTCGATTTCGCGCGGTGGTGAATGTTAATGAACGTCATTCGAGAATTCAAGGTCTCAGCCGTTTGAAAAATTATTACGATCGCCGTAGGCGATCATAAGAGCGAAACATAGCTCAATAGCAAAAAAGTCATCATAAACTGATAGGTGTAGCGATTGGTGTAACTTTTAAAAAAAATTTAAAAAAACATCTGTAAAATTAAAAAAAGAACTGTTTCTTGAGCGCGGTGAAGAACTTTTTAATTTTCCTTAACTTATCTTTCTCTTCTAATATTTCCAATTGTATTTTTAATTATCAATCAACTTTTTATACTTCTAAATCATCTTGTGGAAAACTTTTTATATGACACTATTTTTTGATGTCAGAACAAAGATTGAATTAAATGATAATTAAATTAATAGAAATTAATTTAATCTACGGAAAAATATATGCTGCAAAAGTGCGAAAATGATATTTTAACAACGACGATGCATTGTGCAACAAATAATTGCGGGCGCGTTATAAAAATGTCCAAATTCGATTATCTCGATAATTATAGTTATCTCATGGAAATGTCGAGCTATTCTGAATGAAGTCGTGTTTAAGGACTTTCAAGAAGAAATTACATTCGCGGACAATGTGTAATTAAGGAGATATTCGCATTGCAGCACGCTTTCGCGGCAGTTAATGATGTTTTGCGTAACTACTGTAAAAAAAAATAATCTAAACGGAAATTTGATGCAACAAGTTGTTCACTTAAAAATTGAACAGTCGCATCGTGTGAAATGAAATTTTATCTGTGAAAATTGAACTTCTTCTCTCAAATATTGAGTGCTTGATCGTAAATTAGCAAATAATTATGCCCATTAATTAGTACTAATATTAGTAATTATATTTCTCTGAATTATCTTCTAACATGTGGCTAACGTGTATGTTAACTGTTTGATTGTTCTAATATCTTGTTGTAATATTAGCTGCTCCCACATTCGTAGATTGCCCAGAAAGGCGTAAAATTGTTTTTCTCTATTATTTTTATCTACATTTATTTAAAGAATTTATATTAAATCGAAATTAGATCCAATATCCCAACGTAAACTCTAATCTGGCAATCTACGTCGGAAATTGTAAAAATATTAGATATTTAATCGTGAACATTTGTACACGTGTTATACCTGAATAAGTAATGACAAAGGAGGATTTTCCTTGTCACGCATTGCCTTAAATAGAAAAGAAACGACGATAATTCTGTTTGTGAGACACACTCGACGCGATCTGCAAATTTTCACGATTACAACTGCAAGTACGGTGAATCTGTGTGTGTATATGTATGCATGTGCATCTCGTCCGCAAAACGTAACGGCAAGAGCACGCCAGTACGCAAGTAGCGCGCACCGAGCATGTCCTGACCCCCGGGTTTTTCTCGGTTTTGCTCCGCAGTGAGGATTACTACGGTGACCTGGACCTGAAGAGCATCCGGAAGAGCGAGCTGCTTGCCGGCATCCAGAGCGAGCCGAGAAAGCCGAACCAGGCCCTCAAACCTAGGCCGTCGACAGTAGGAGGGCCCACGAGGCCCTCACCCGTCCAGGAATAAATCCTGACTTACCTCGCTCTTTCCTCCCTCCAGCCCCCGACTTTTTCCACACCCTCTCTTCCTTTCTGTCTCTTTCTGTCTCTTTCTATCTCTTACTGTCTCTCTCTTGTTCTTTCTACCTCTTTTATTCTTTTTCTCTCTATATCTTTCTCTTTCTTTTTGTTGTGCTATCATTTAATTTTAACAAATTCTGTTGTTTAACGCAAGTTATTGGTACGAAATCCAGATTAGAAAATTAAAATCGCACTTCTTTCTACAAGAAATAATGATCTTTTATTACGGTATAATTCTGAGAATCATACTTATGTGTTCAAGAATTCAGGCGAAGAATTATGTCCCACTTTTCAGTAAAATATAAAACAAAAAATTTAATTTTAGAACTTTATTTTAATTCTCTATAATTCAATAATAAAAATATTCACAAACTTATTGAAATCCCTTTATATCTTCTGTACCTTTTAATGCTGTCTCTCTTTGATTTATTTAATCTTATATCGATTTTACGCCAATAAATTGTATCAAATTCAATTTCTTTCTTCCTCTTCTTCTCGCTGTTTCTTCTTCTCTCTTTCTATTTCTTTTTCATATCTTTCTCTTGTTTCTTCTGTATTTCTCGCTCCTTCTTTTTCTTTCTCTTTCTTTTATCACGCATAATAAACATACACTCGCATACACATACATTATAATCGAGAAAAAATACAGCCCCGATTACATAAAGAGGATTTCTCCGGAAAGGAAGTAATCGGCGGCCCACTAGGATCGATCTCGAGGCGAAATCTCTCGAAGCAAAACCCGCGAGATTCTGAGAGGATAAGAAATATGCGCGATTGAGCTGTTATAAATATTTCGTGCTCTACTTCTCTAATACGTTCTCGCGAAATTCTCTCTCGTCGCCCTAATTTGCGCGTCCCCACGCAATCTCGATGCACAGAGCAAATGTTATTTTTCTAATTATAATAGAATAGAAGAAAGGGAACCGAGGAACACACGTACACGACGCGTTAGCGCGACGAGTAATTGCGAATTCCGAGAAATCACGTACAATTTTTCTTTGCTTGTATGTCACGTTTTGCAATATATAGTAATACGCGTTGCTATTAGTAATCTAATAATAGACTTTTTAACTATCAGAACACAAATATCTGAAAATCTGATAATACTTCTGCCGAAATTGACATAATTATTTTATTATAATTTTCCAGCATACATATTGCACAGAATTAATTATAGTTTATAATATTTAAATATCCTACCTTAGGTTAGACAGGACTAAAATTTTTCATCGCTGATACAATGTCTAATTGATAATAATTGACACTGATAAGCAGCATAAAATTTTCTCAAAAAATTTCCTGACAAATGCTCAAAGTATTGATGTTTCTATAAAATTTATATTCATCGTAATGCCTCATCGGCAATTTCTGTTTTTTAATCGATTTCTTTTAAATAAATAAAAAAATACATCCTCCCTTAAACTGTTTCTAATCTGTCTATACACTCTCGACTATTTCTAATCTATCTTTCTCCTGTCTTTTTCCCTTTTTCTCTTTATCGTGAGAGCGGGAATTTGAAAACTTGTAATTTCGTAATAACGAAAACACGACAATTGAGGGCCGTTTTTGCAAAATTGTAAATTTTCTAAAGATATATTATTCCATTTACAATCATCCTGCCACTTGTATTGATTTATTTTAATACAGTATTATTCGTATACAGTATTATTCGTCTCTAGAAATAATCGATAAAATAAGTTTCCTGAAAATTATTACTGTTAAATTTTGCAAAAATTGTTCTTGATAGAAGTAAAACAACTGAAAAATTGAACTAAACGAAATTACACTGATTTTAATTCCTGAATAAAACGCACGATAATAAAATAAACAAAAAAATAAAAAAAAAACATCAATTTATGTCGCGCACAAAATCGAGATCTGTCGGACTCGCGTAGTTAACAATCCACGATCCACGAATTTACAGTTCAGAAATCTTTCCGACTCTTGACGCCATTACGTAAGGAAGATCGGCCGGTTTGTCGTGTATCTTTTAAGTAAGACGAAAAGTTCATACAATAAAAAGAGAGAAAATTCTTGGAAGACTTTGAATTGTATTTTCACCGCATATTTGATGTTAAAATTTCATTTACAACATCCTGTAAATCTATAAGATCTAATTATATAATATTGAAGTTGCATGAAATTCTGAAAGCTATTTATTTAACGCTAAGATTACATCGTATGTCATATGTACGTCAGAAAAGAATTAGATGGCCACGTTTGACACTAAATGTGTGGTGAGAATATAAACAATTTCTCTGTCTATTTGTCCTATAAAACCTGTTTCCTAATCCACCTCTATCGATCGCTAATCATTGACACATTTCTGCATTTATAATTCTTAATATATTTAATAGTTTCTCGGCACGTTCTCTCTCTGTGTAGTTACTTGCTGCATGTTAAAACTATTGCCTAATGATGTACATAATTTAATCGTAATGTATGCAATACTTCAATTGAAGCCTGAAAAATCTTAACTTAAGCTTAAAAATTGATGTCTTAACATGCGTATCAAATGTTCTGTACATATCGAATTAATTTTGATTAGTAATTGAAGCATCGGGAATATATTTAAAGGGAATGTATATAATATATTTCAAGAGAGTACATTATATGTATATTATACACAATGTTTAATGTATATATTGTATCTCAACTTTATCGAAAATTACGGATTTTTCTTATTTTCTGCCTTAATTAAGAGATAAAAAATTACATATAATTGCACATTATACATGCATTTTACACGAAAATGTGGAAAAACGTCTCAAGAAACGTCGTCAATCAAATTAGCTAAAGTTGATGATTAAGATCGTGTTTCAGTTTCCTTTCTTTTCGCGAAAGTCAACTTATTCAACTTTTAACACGCTCTTCAACTGGACTCCGCGACTATGGAATTATTCATTGTCAGATTTGATCAAATAAAAAATTGTTGAAAGATACGTTTTAAACGCATAGATTCGTACTTTGCGTGAGAATTACGATTCAAATCGTACTTCGAAGACGGTGACTCCGATCTAAAGTGATCTTACGTTACGATCAAATCACACGCAATATTTTCATGCATTTCCCAGCCAAGACTATTACGGCGACGTGGACCTGAAGGCTCTACGCAAGCTCGGCTACAGGAAATAGAAGCGTTTGCATGTAAACGTTATGCTGACCGGTGATGAAAACAGCGCATCCGCCGCGAGAAGCCGGTCCAGAAGAGCGTGCGTCGACAGAAGCGAAGAGGCAGTCGCAAGAATGATCCTCCTGCAAATCATATTCCATAAAATTATATCGTCATCGCCCGTATTGCCATGTAAATAAGCTAAATCGTTTGCAAGACGTGAGAAGGTACATCAAAAATATATGTCGAAAAAATATCCTGTGTCTGTAATTTTTCTCATCATCCTTGGATTCATCAGCGTTTTCGTTTTCAAAAGTTTGATTTAAGAAGCATATACGTAATATAATACAATAAGTCGCACAAGTCTACTTTATTTGATAAAAAACAAGTAAATAATAAAGTAATGTAACTATCAGATCATCATTAAATAACAAGTATAATTTTTTTCACCAAGTAATCAAAGAATTAAATAATACAGAGTGTTTTATTCGGCAATTGCAATTCTTTAATTATTCTGGCAAGCACAAATCCGCATTAAGTTTTAAATCATTCGATGATTATATATTATTGTGAGATAATTTAATGCACGAGATATTACGAGATCATTACCTTCCTCTCATCCAGTGAAGTTTTAGGAAGTAGCAACGCTTTTCCGTCAAAAAAGCACTTTTGAATAATCCTTTCACACAAAAATTCGATGTTTCAAACAATATCATAATTCGCGAACCATAACTGGCGTCGCCATCTTGCGTCGAATTTTCACGAGCAAATGACTTCTGATAATTGAATGATCGCGCGTGGATATTGTTCGGAACTGTATATAATCTCTTTGTTCGGAACACGGTGATCGAAACGATGATCCGATGATAAAATCGTAAATAATAAAACTTGCCGGGTAATACAACCACGCGTTCAATTCCATACTATATGTCTACAGAATTAAAAGAGTGAGAGACAGAGAGAAAGAGAGAGAGAGAGAGAGAGAGAGAGAGAGAGTAATAATGGATTAAAAATTATAAAAATTAAAAGTTAGAATAATATTATATATTATTTAAGCCAAACAAAAATGTCAAAAATGAATAATTTAAGCTTAAAAAGATATTGAAAATGTAAAATAAGCGTCCAGTAATAACCAATATTTGTTCATTTGTAATTACGATTTAATAATACTGAAAAATATTTAGATGAAATTTATCTTAAGACATATATAGCCTATTTATTTTTTGCGGCTTAATTATAAATCATCGATATTAGAATATTAAATTGTAAAAATAATTAAGTATTGCTTTAAATGTGATTCGAAGATATATTAATTATGACAAAAGCACGATATTTTACCAGTTATATGGATTCATTTGGCGCGCGCGTTTTAAGTCACGTGAGGAAAAGTATCACGAGACACGTGACACGTGACACGTGCGTGTTTTTGGCGTAAAGTTATAACGCCACCAGGCAAGAGAATGTGGAAATATTCCAATAAAACAAGTGCTTTTACAATTAGATACGAAACTTACATCTGATGAATTCGCAGGACCATTTGAAGTTCGAAAGATTGTCTCACAGTTATCTTTGATTTACGGGATAACAAAGGTAAATAGTACAGACATATATTATAGGTATATGTATATATACGTGACTTGAAATCGACAGACGGAGACAGAGGACAAAAAACACTGCCGGCAATGACCAACTATAACCACAGTGTTGTTACGCTGGACTCCCCTTTTCGCGCATGCGCGAAACATTGAGTGATAGATATATAGCATTTGGAGCGGTCGGAACACTGTAAAAACAAATTAATATAACGGCAAGCTTTAGAGCACCTTATTTTCTCGACGATTAATGAGGCTACATTTAATGCGCACGCGAAAAAGAGAGTCCATTTAATAACATTGTGGGACGAGTAAACAAGGGTTTATACCACGTGCAAAATTCTGATTGACTCATTTTCGTCGCAACCGCGTGCCAGCTAGGATGGATCACGACGAAGCGGTCGACGAAAACAAGTACACGCCAGTGGACGCATATGATCCGGCCGACCCCCTCGGACTGTCAGGATGTGCGTCATCGTTGCGTTCCATCAAGCGTCCGCGTGCCAACCCACCGTCATCTCCGAAGCCGAACTCAGTGAAGGTGCCGAAAGTGGAAACGGTGATTCAACGCTCAGACGCCGGCCAGTTCTCTGAGAAAATGGAACGGCTGATAACGCCACGTCTGCCGCCTCTACTCGCGTGCGAATCCGCGCTGGAACAGCCGACAAAGTCAGTGATCAAACTGGAGCCACCGGACGAAGAAGATAGGGATCCCGCGCTTCCACCACCGATCCCGGTGGAGGTTGCCCCCGGATGCGTCGTACAGGTGCCGTTTTACGCGGCACACAAATCGCGCAAATACAAAGCGCAAACGGATAATGGCCGTTACAATATCCGATTCAATCACGACGGGTCGGTGCGGTTTTGCCGAAAAGTCGAGCCGAAACAGCCGACAAACGAGCCAGTGGTCAAATTGGAGCCGCCGGCAGAAGAAGCTACGTCACCTCCGCAGCCTCCACCCGCGTGCGGATCCGCGCTGAAACAGCCGACAAACAACGAGCCAATCATCAAACTGAAGCCGCCGGCCGAAGAAGCTACGTCACCTCCGTCGCCTCCACCCGCGTGCGAACCCATTCTGAAACAGTCAACAAACAACGAGCCAGTGGTCAAACTGGAGCCGCCGCCGGCCGAAGAAGCTGTGAATCACCCGCTTCCACCACCGATCCCGGTGGAGGTTGCCCCCGGATGCGTTGTACAGGTGCCGCATTTTGCGGCACACGTATGGCGTAAATGCAAAGCGCGGACGGATAATGGCCATTACATTATCAAATTCAATCACACCGGACAAGTGCGGTTGTGCCGAAAAATCGAGTCGCCAGCCGAAAGAGAAGCTTATATGAATCCCGCGCTTTTAGCACCGATCCCGAGCGCGGTTGCTCCCAGATGCGTCGACAAATTGAAGCGGTTGCTAACGCCACTTTCGCCGCCTCCACCCGCGTGCGGATCCGCGCTGAAACAGCCGACAAACAATGAGCCAGTAATTAAACTGAAGCCACCGGCCGAAGAAGCTGTGAATCCCGCGCTTCCACCACCGATCCCGGTATGGGTTGCCCCCGGATGCGTTGTGCAGGTGCCGTTTTACGCGGCACACCAATCGCGCAGATACAGAGCGCAGACAGAACATGGCCGTTACATTATCCGATTCGATCGCACCGGAAAAGTGCGGTTGTGCCGAAAAATCGAGCCAAAACAGCCGACAAACAAGTCAGTAGTCAAACTGAAGCCACCGGCGAAAAAAGCTATGAATTACCCGCTTCCACCACCGATTCCGGTGTGGGTTGCCCCCGGATGCGTTGTACAGGTGCCGTTCTACGCGGCACACAAATGGCGCAAATACAAAGCGCGGACGGAACATGGCCGTTACAATATCCGATTCAATCACGACGGGTCGGTGCGGTTCTGCCGAAAAATCGAGCCAAAACAGCCGACAAACGAGCCTGCGGCCAAACTGGAGCCGCCGCCGGCCGAAGAAGCTATGAATCACCCGCTTCCACCACCGATTCCGGTGGAGGTTGCTCCCGGATGCGTTGTACAGGTGCCGCATTTCGCGGCACACGTATTACGCAACTACAGAGCGCGGACGGATAGTGGCAGTTACATTATCCGATTCAATCACACCGGACAAGTGCGGTTGTGCCGAAAGCTGTAAAGTGCCTCCTGTCAATTCGGGCACAGTTTAGGAATTGACGCTTAGGAGTTGACGTTATATAGGGGTTGGTGCAACGGTGCATCCCCGAGAATGCACCATTCCTCGACCGAACGTCCGTCGAGAAGCCGGCCGGAGAGTCGTCCGTCGGAAAATACGCAACCGAGACATCGGATTTGCGTCCTGGCGCGGTGCGCCCTTTATTTAAAATCACAACAATTACGAGTGCGTAAGCACTCGGCGGCATATATGTCGAGTAAACGTCGTCGGCGTCGTCGCACTGAACGTCGAAGACAATTAATCGACGGGCGCCGGAAATAACCGAGAGCCGCAATCGCTAATGCCCGATAAAGACAAGGGCGTTTATAACATTTCGAATTGAAAAACAATAATGCAATGGAAAACATTCCGAGCAGATTTCTTTTTTTTTACGTAGCGTTAATTATTTTTTTTTTTTTTTTTGAATTGTCAGTGTTTGAAGATGGCTTAAAAATATAGTTTTTAGATACAATGTAAGGTATCTTTCTATAAATTAACAAGCATTTAATCCGCATAAAAGTCGCTGAAATACAAGTATTTAACTTTTCTAGATCTCACTTGTAGATAATACTATTTACTAAAATTTCAGTTTTTATTTTTTTTTGACGATAGAACTTTGTTTTGGGAACATGAATACTCATTCAATCCTTACGAGGCAGTATATTTACTTAAGAAAGAAATTCATGTACGCTCTCATAATGCGTAATAATAAAGACAGAAATGCATTCCTATTTTCCAGAAAAATAGTACAAGATTTTTTTTTAAAGATTACTTTTCGTATAAATAATTTAACAAGACTCGATCCGATCGGCTATAAATAAAGGACGAGATCTGACTGTCGAAAGCAAATTTTTCCGTGCGTTGGGTGAGCTTACCACACCGATTCCAGAAGCTCCGCCGCATTTCCTGTATCCGAGATTTCCTTCGAGTAGCTGAAACGATGAAGAAAGAAGGTAAAGGAATTCTCCGTTCCCGCCGGACGTTCCCGGCAATCGATCTGAGAGACATAATTGACTGTGGGTCCGCATTGTTATGAAGAGATAAGATGTGTTCTACCCTGGCCGAGAGTAATTGCTGGCCGCTTTTGCATTCCGAGCAAGCCAATTGATACATCTACGTCAAAGTTTTTTCAAACACGAGTTTCCGTCCGATATCCATGGAGCATAATCGCAAATGCTGATACATCGAAGACACGGTCTGCCGCGTCGAATCACGCAGGTAAATTAATCACTCGCAGTAAACATACGCATGTGTATTGTTAGCCTTTAAAACGTGAATTCAACAACACCCGCTTCGGAAAAGTAAACCACGTACACGCGTCGCGTAAATATTTTTGCAATTGGCATTCTTATAATAAACTCTTAATTATTATTTCCGATTATAATTGTCTCCAGATCTGTTGTATTTGTTCCCTAAATCTCAATTGAACGTTATTCAGTAGAACATTCATACAAAATTAATAAGTGTTTTTAATTTTGCTTCAATGTGTTTTATTGGATATGTATATTAAGATGATTAACTTCTTTCTTGCATGATGTCAAGTGTCAACATACAATATATACATATGTACATACTAAAATCTGTAGTTCAAGTTAAGGAGATGCTAGCGCGACGTCAAAACTCTTAATGTCGTTTTACTGACAATTTCTGCGTACGTGTGCATGCGATATTGATGTAGTAATGTGAAGTGATGTGTTATTTATTTTTTATGTTAAATCGCAAGCACGCACACACACACACACACACACATTGTAACAAATTTTCATGTACACATTTTTGCATGTTTTCACATACTTATGTTGCAGATTTGAGGATATAAAATATGTCTTGAAATTCGACAGAGGCAGATGCAGCATGTGGACATCATAGACATATGTACATATATTGGAGATACAGAATTCGACAGTCTTGACTTGTCGGTGGCATCGGTGAATAAAATTTAAAGTATAGATGACGGTTTTCTGTCTGCCGAAATCGTTATTATTTTTTTAATCAGTGCAAGTTATTCCGCTTGCAGATTAATAGATGTAAACTTTTATACAGAAAACGTCGAATCAAAAAGAGATAAATCAGTTTCTTTACTTTCAAAAAAGATGCTTGTTAAAAACACTGTTTAAAATTTGATAAATCATTTTGTTATAATACTATTTAAATTTTGATTTTAATAATCCTAATCGCTACTTAATTTTGTAGTCGCAGTTAGATAAATACTCTCAATGTTTTATTAAAATTTTTGAATTGATTTATGTTAATAAAACGTATACGATTTCATTTACAACATTTTATCTGATGTTGTTTTAATCCTTTAACCATTTTTTATAATTCCATTTTCTGCGTGAATCTTTTCTAAATGTCAAAATTGACATGACTTGAGCTTCAAAGAAGCAAAATAATTCCTATCTGAAAAAGTGCATGTTAAATCGATATCTCGAATATCTCGAAATATCGAAGTTCTTGAAGCCTCTTTTTGGCGATTTTGACCAATTTTGAGCAATTACTTTGACTTTTGCCCAAAATTATTTTAATTATTGAACAAAAATTATTATCAGATCTGGATTCAATAAAATTGTTCTTTCCGTGTGTGCAATGCAATACTTAGGTTTCTTTGCTTATATTTTCATAGCACCGCAGATCAGCGCAAGCCTATTATATAATATCGTAACATAACTTGAAACACCCTCTCACTGTGCTGTCCCGTATATTCATGCGGTGGAACCGGTTCACCGATCGCTCCCGGTCGGTTTAATCGATCACGGTGGTTCAATTGTTTACTTGCGAATTAATCGACAATAAATTTACGTTTCTGCGGCGAAGAAATTCGCGGCACTTATAACTCACCTTTGCAGTGAGACGTTCGTTAATGCAGACATTTCTTAACATACATACCATGACACTTTCATTGAGCAATTGCCTGTTTGCTCTTGGCGATATGAAAAATATTAGAAATTATTGTACTCTGTAAATACAGTTGCTTTTCTTCGGTCTTTATCGAAGGAGATTTATACTATTTATATTATATAAGCAAGCCTATGCGATTTTTACTATCATTTAGAGATCATTAATCGAAGTTCGCGGCGTAGGATCTTGCCGGAAGGATTCTTCGGTATGGCATCGACAAATTGCACTCCACCATACAGCCATTTTTGCGGCGACAGTTTCTCTGCAAAATAAATTGAATTGCTCGATTAATGTATGAACAGATCATCGCTCGGATCGTCTTTACTATTAAAATGCACTACCAAGATAAGACGGAATATTTCCACGCTCTTGCTACGCCATATACTTACAGAGACAGCGAGGATTAACAATTTTGTTGAGCGCAGCGTTTAATATTATTACAACGCGATGTTACTAATAAGTTAATAACTAATAATACCGTTAATAATGTGATGTAATATTGAATGCTGCTATAATACTAGATATATTTTTGATATCATGTTTTACTTATTTATTTAAATTTTTGCATTTATTTCAAATAACTTTCACTATATTGTTATAAGCAATTTATTAAATTTTTAATTTTTTATTATAGATCTATATGTATATCCCAAATATTTTTTAAATCCGCTTTGAATGCTTTTTTAAATTTATTATTTTAAAATATAGAAAAAAAAATTTTAAATTAAAACTTTTCATTGTTATGAAAAGAATCAAAGTATGATATACGAAAGGAACAAACTAGTGCGCACTTTTACCCGAGATTTCTTCATAGTGAGAGATATAATGAATAATGTTCTAATCGAAGAACGTTTTAATTAATCTGCGAGAAATGACAAAAAAGATCACTATGAGTGACAACTCACGTTTGACGAACTCCTGCAAGTCTTGGGCGGTAATCGTGGCGTCAGGTTGCTTCACTACAAAAGCCACGGGGATCTCGCCGCTGCGTTCATCGGGTTTCGCAGTGACTCCGGCGTCTTTTATCGCGGGATGCGACAGTAAGACGATTTCTATCTCCGACGGCGAGACTTGATAGCCTTTGTACTTGATCAGCTCTTTGACGCGATCCACCACATGTAGCCTCTCCTTGTTGTCGAAGTAGCCGATGTCGCCGGTGTGAAGCCATCCGTTCTGGTCGATGGTCTGTCTGGTTATCTCGGGGTTGTTCCAGTAACCAAGCATCACTTGCTCTCCGAAATAGCAGATCTCGCCCACCTGGCCGGTCTCTAGTGTCTCTTGTGTCTCGAGGTCGATCACTTTGCAGAGGAAACCAGGCAAGAGTTGAAGAGGAATCCCGGATGAATTCTCGACCTCGTCATCATCCTCGCGTGCGCTCATACTGGCCACTACCGACAACTCTGTCATGCCATAGCCGTTGCGAATGCATTTTATGCCCATGCGAGTCTTCACCGTGGTTACGATCTACGAAAAAAGATAGGAAATACTTTAAATTTTTTCCACAGTTTTTAAACTGTTTGCGCCAACATTGGATTAACTTTTTTAAATTAGTTTAATTAATTAATGCAAAGGAATTAACATTTCTGACCAATCTAATAGATTTTCAATACTGATTGTGACTCAGAATGTAGCATCCCGGGAAAAAATTTTGCATATAAAAACATATATAAAAATATATTATTATATATATATAATTATATGCAAAAATATGTCCATATGTATCCATATGAAAATGCAACAACTCCCCGGGACTTCTTCTCGCAGTCCTTCGTTCTTACCGCTGCTGTGGCATCGAGGACTCATTTCGGCACTTACACTTAAAATTAGTCTCGTCAATGGCAGCTGCTTTTCTTGCCGTGATAACTTGGTCGAGGGAGGGTTAGGGTAGAGGATTTGATAGGTAGAGGGAACGACAAGTTTCATGATGACAGAAGAAAACTCACGTCTTTCGCAAGCGGCGCCGCTCCGCAGAGGAATTCTCTCACGCTGCAAAAATCGTACTCATCTACCAGCGGGTGTTTCGCCAGGAATGTCAAAATTGGCGGCACCACCGGCAGATGAGTAATCTTATACTCCTGCACCAGAGTTAGGAAGAGTTGTGGCACGAAGGCGGGCATTATGACCAAGGTGCAGTTTGCGAAAAGAGCGAGTAACAGCAAGCCCAATCCGTAGGCATGATAAAACGGTAACAGCATTAATATTCTGTCATCACTTCTTGTGTCCCAGCACTCGGGTTTGCTGCGTTTTAAAATCATAATTGAATTATAGAATCAAATCCTCTTGGTTGCTTCTAAGTGAGGAAATGGGACTTTATCTTTTCGGACGATTGTACATACAAAGTTTACAAATAAATTGTAAAATTTAAATTAACATTATAGTTAAAGATAGTGTTGAAATAATTAGTATGGTATTATATTTTGTGTAAAATTAAAATCTCTCTTTAAATTAAACATTTAACGCCGTACGTGTTTTTAATCAAATGCATATTGATTTCATTGCCATTTAAAAATATATTGACTAATTTATTTTAAAAAAAGATATGTGTATTATATATGTAAAACTTGCCCCATTTTTGTTAAAAACGCCATTAGATTTTTATGAGACAGAGCTACTCCTTTCGGCAATCCCGTGGTACCACTCGAACAGAGAATACCCAATGGATGCCGACTGGTATCATCGATATCTGCAGACTTGTATCTCATGTAGTCTACATCCGGTTCGTTATTTATGATATTCGTCAACGTACGGACATTTGTTGTGAGCGGTTGATCGTCCAGCTGTATTAATTCCATTTTCCAGGATAAGTTCGGTAGGATTTTAGCCAAGATATTTTCGGTGCGCTGAGATACCAAAACAATACGCGGTTTTGCGATGTTTAATATGTGCTGGAATTCATCTAAATGATAAACGTTTGAAATCAATTGGTGTTTAAACTCGACATTGATATCTCTTATATTTGTATATTCATATAAGTTACAACTAGTTATTATATGTATAACATAGATCATTTTGGATTAAATCATTCCGGAAAAAAATTTTTCATATAAGAACATATATAAATATGTATAAACATATATAAAAAAATATATAATTATATATATTTACATATAATTACATTATATATACATATAATTACATTACAATATATAATTACATATATAAAAATATATATAATTATATATAATTATACATAATTAAATGCAAAATATGTCCATACATATCCATAAAGATTTTTTTTTTGTAAAATTATTGTTTGATACAAGAAAAATGATATAATAAAAAAACAAAAAATAATTAAAAGAATAATTTTTGCAGTTTCTTTTTACAAAAAATTAATTAATTTTAAAAAATGAAAAGAAATTGTTCATATATAATTATATATGTATATTTTTAATCATTTATATATGATTATATATAAACAATTTTTCTCATTTCTTTAAACTTGATTTTTTGTAAAAAAAAATGTAAAAATTATTCTTTTAATTATTTTTTATGTTTCCTTCTTATTATTATCATTTTTTTGTATTACAAAATAATTTTACAAAAGAAAAAAACATATATGGATATATACGGACATATTTTGCATATAATTA